GGAAATGTTTTGAGAATGATGAGGGCAATGAATGTACAAATGCGCTTTACACAATTGATGTATGTATGGGTTGTGATAAGAGTTGTATGAGCCCCTAATAAAATGATTAAAAAAAAGAAAGAAATTGCAGGATGAATTGGAGAGCAAAGACAAAAGTCAAGATGAAATCTTGAAATAGGGACAGTGGTAGGAGAACCAAAAATGGAAGGGAGGAGCCAAGATATTGAAGACGGAATCAATAGGGTTAATTGATGGTCTAGGTGGCATCAAAGGCCGATCTGGAAACGTCAGCACAGTAAGTGGGGTCTCTGACATTGATGACTTCAGAATGCAAGCGTTAGAGGCAGGTCGATCTGCCATCAATCAGTCCCTGAGCCACCACGTGGTAGCTCTAGGATCAGGTGCAGGTTAGTGAGCCCCTTGAAGCCTCACTCTCCTCATCTGCCAAAAGGGACCAGCACAGTACTACCTCTGAGGAGTATGGAGAGAGTTTAGTGGGTTAGTGCACACCTGCGGTCTCCGAGGGAAGCACATGGCTCACCCACTTGGGTGTCTGTTGAAAGGTGGGAGGTTCGAGTCCACTCTGGGATGTCTCAGAAGGAAGGCTTGGTGGTCTACTTTGAAAAGTTAACCACTGATCGCCACTCTCACCACTGGGCCTGGGGGGTTCATTGATCCTGGATTCCCTGTGTTCTGGTTCCTATCTGTGCCAGTGTGCATCCTCTGGTCTAGCCAGGTTTGTGGGGTGGAATTGGGATCATGATTGATGGTGGGGCGGGGGAGGAAGCATTAAGGAGTCAGGGGAAGATGGCTGCTAGAGAAGTAGCTCATGCCCGGAGCTCCGTGATCGGTCCGACTGGACCAGAGGATGTGCACTGGTGCCAGGGAGGGGGGGGACTGGAGGTGCAGGGAGTCCAGGACAGATGAACCCCTTGGAACCAGTGGTGAGAGTGATGATACCAGGAGGGTGGAGGGAAGGTGAGGGAGAAAGGGGGAACAGATTACAAGGATCTACATATAACCTCTTCCCTGGGGGACGGACAGCAGAGAAATGGGTGAAGGGAGATGTCGGATCGTGTAAGATATGACAAAATAATAATAATTTATAAATTATCAAGGGTTTATGGGGCGGGGGAGGAAGGGGAAAAATGAGGAGCTGATACCAAGGGCTCAAGTAGAAAGCAAATGTTTTGAGAATGATGAGGGAAACAAATGTACAAAAGTGCTTGACACAATGGATGTATGTATGGATTGTGATAAGAGTTGTACGAGCCCCCAATAAAATGATTGAAAAATAAAGTTAGCCACTGACACCCCCCGGCGCATAGTTCTACTCTGACACACATGGGGTCACCAGGAGTCCGAATCGAAGAGACAGCAGCTGTCTTGTGTTTTCGTTTTTTGCTTGTACAATAAACACCATGAACTCAGAACAGGACATGATAAACAGCATAATAACAGATGTATAACCATATTTATTATGGTTAAAATGATAAGAGTAATAAATAATTATGATACCTTATAACACTTATCATTATATTTTGTAAGACCTTTTAGTCTTTTTCAGTATTCTTATAATTTCAATAGGAATATTCCCAATTAGGCATTCACCAGGGTATAAAAATGCAGGTGAGTATGCATTCATTTATTCAACAAGAGCTTACTAAGTATATTCTTTGATTTGGGGACACTTGGGATACAAATTTTAGTCCTACCGTAGCTCTTTAATAAATTGCTGCACATGAAAAGCATGATCAAATGAAATGATCATATATGGTCTTGCAGTGCTATGGAGTTCAGTGTCAAAACGAGTGACCCAAATTAGTCTTGAATCAAGGACACACAAAAAAGTGCCTCTCTAAATGATAATTGTCCTTAGGTCAAATATTCTACCAATAGCTTCTCTAGTACTACTTCAGAACTGTAGGAACACTGCTTTAAAATAAACATTGTTTTTAATTCGAAGAACTCATTTTAAACATCTGATTAATTGTGTTGGCATGTTCCATGTTAATAGCAAGGTATTTCTTTTATAAATCCTTAAAGGACTTTGTGACAAAATAATTTATCTCTTTGGGAGTTAATATAAATATGAGTTATCCTTTGTTAGGATTCAAACACTTATTTCATTTAATATAAACA